CTGAGTCAGAAGATGCCTATTACATGAACGACACTAGTAAGCTACTGCACGCCCCGACACACTCATCATGCTACCTTATATCAAGAACATATCTGAACTGACCACAAGACTCTTACGACCACTGGGCAACAGAGTAGCACACAAACCCACATCAACCCTACGCCAACTGCTAACCTGAACCAAAGACCCGTTACCCACTACGGACAGGACCAACGTAACATACAAGATCCCCTGCAAAGACTGCAACAAACATTACATTGGACAGATAGGAACAAAATTAGCCACAAGGGTACATGAACATCAACTAGCAACAAAAAGACACGACTAATACTCACTCATCTCCATCCACATGGATAAAGAAAACCACCAGTTTGATTGGGACAACACCAGGATCCTAGGACAGGCCAAGCAGAGACAAGCACGGGAATTCCTAGAGGCCTGGTTCTCCAGTGAGAAGACCATCAACAAACTCATAGAGCTAGACCCTATATATACTCCACAGCGAAGGAAAACCGGAAGTGAGGTAACCCAGCTCAATGGACATCAGAGTTTAAATAACAGGCGGGAAAACACAAAAGTGCTTCATCGGAGGCTGCACTGATGACGTTACCCAGCAGGGTAAAGAAACGAGCTTGGCGAGCCAACCAACCACAAGATTATTTAACTACTAAACAGCAACTGATCCAATATAGTAACATCCCTTAAACAGCCCCTTAGCAAAGGCAAATTCAGTAAAATAGATGGCCTCACATGCAACTCCAGCAGCAGAGAGAAATGCAGTATTTTGCTATGACCAAGACAGTGATGATACAGTGGCTTTAAAAGGGGTATTTTGACCTGTTTTTTGTTTGTGAAGAAAGGTTGAGAGAGGTATCGAGCAGTCTGTTCAAAGCCATTAAAGTAAACAGCATGTGAGGCCTTGAGGATTTTTTAAGGATGGAACAATAGAAGCAGCCTGGATGGGTGGAGTCAAGTTCCCAAAGAACCAGGATTTTTAGTTTTAGGTTTCTGCAGTTGCTGAGGTCTTGAAGCTGGATGTGGAAGCTCTTAGTCCTCTCTCTGTTACAGTTAAAAGTGGGGATTCTCTTCCTGCTGATAGAACTGCATGTCAGAATTTGCTTTTACCAAGGGTGTATTTAAGGGATGTTACCATATTGGTACAGTTAATTAGTGGTAGTTAAAATATATATCAGAATTTCAATACAGTTACAGTTAAGCCTTTTTTATTTTTGTTTTGTCTGTCTTTTAACTCTGGTGCAAAAATAAAGTTTATTTTGCTTAAAGTCGAGTAATTTTGACCAATCAAATTGCATCTGGAACACAATGCCTTCTTACTTTTAAGGTAAGAAGTTAGGGTCTAGGCTATCTTAATATATGGTCCATAACAGATGTAACAGCTTCCACAGTCAACTTCAAACACCAACAACTGCTGAAAGTGAAACTAAAACTCTGGTTCTGTAGGAGCCTGACTCCGCCCATTCATGTTGCTTCCATTATTCTAACTTTTAAAAAATCCCAAGCCTCATGAGCTATTTACTTTATTAGCTTGGAGGAGGCAGTTTTTCACCTATACTCAAAACCTCTCTTCAAAAAGACACAGGGCAAAATACACCTCTTAAAGCCATTGTATCATCACACCTTCCCCTAACCCCTTAAAAGAAAAATGAACTATTAGTAGACATAAATGGCTTCATTTTTAAAAACCTTTAGTTTTATACTACAGGAACCAGCTCTGTGATGGCTGGGCCAGTGTCATGTACTATGCACATGTAAATAAAAGGTGACTTGGTGATGGGATACTGGTCTTTGTGGAGTTATTTCACCTACAAATGTTGTTTGAATCAACAATATCTGCATGATTACCAACCGTCTCATTTGTTTAGCTACTTTCTCACAGGAAATGAAAAAGGCTCTATGTCCTTTTCAGAAATATTCCACAATTGAGAAGGAGACCTTGAGTTTGATGGTGCAACATTTCAACATTTATGTTCCCAGTAATGTGCCTGAGACAATTGTATATACTGATCATAAACCCTTAATGTTTTTGGAAAAATATAAACATAGAAATACCATATTGTCTACATGGAATTTGTTGTTAAAGCCACTTAATTTAAAGATTATACACATGGTATGACGAGAGAATGTAATCGCTGACGCGTTGTCACGAGTTTAATGAAGGAAAATGAAGGTGTTTGTTGGCAGAAGAAACTGATTGAAATGGACTGTAGTGTTGAATGTTTGCATGTTTACAGTCAATGTAATGTTTGTATATTGTAGTTCTATGGGAGCCTGACTCCCCTGTTCATGCTGCCTCTATTTTTCAACTTTTTAAAAATCCCCAAGTCCTCACAAGCTGTACACTTTATTGGCTTGGAGGAGACAGCTCAGTACCTATGGCTCAAAACCTCTTTTCACAAGAAGGAGAAAATACACCTAAGGCCATGGTATTGTCACACAGTTTTCTAATCAACTTGCTCAGAGATGTTATTACACATCTCTGGAATAGGTGGGTCTTGAACCCAAGCCTCTCTGTCCAGGAGTAGGGACAAATAAGTATTAAATGGAACTGTGAAAAAAATTGTCTGAGTAATGGTGACCTTGGAACTATTTGATAGTTTTTTAAAAAATCTATTTTACTTTGTCTTTCAAGAAAGGAAATCTGCTATCCTTACCCTGTCTGAGCTACGTGTGACTCCAGATCCATAATGATGCGGTTGACTTTTAACTGGATTCTGATATGGCGTTCCATGCCACTCAGTGATCAAGAAGACAGCTTACTGTCACCTTCTCAAGGACATTTGGGAGGGGCAACAAACACTGGACTTGCCAGTGATCACATTTCCATAAATAGAGTCATAGAGTCATACAGCCAGAAACAGACCTTTGGTCCAACCAGTTCATGCCAAACATAATCCCAAACTAAACTAGTCCCACCTGCCTGTTCCTGGCCCATATCCCTCCAAACCTTTCCTATTCATGTACTTATTCAAAAGCCTTTTAAACGTCGCAATTGTATCCATATCCACTTCCTCTGGAAGTTCATTCCACACCCAAACCACTGTGTGTGTAAAAAAATTGCCCCCATGTCTTTTTTAAATCATTCTCCTGTCACCTTAAAAGTGTGCCCCCTAGTCTTGAAATCCTCCATCCGAGGGAAAGACAACCACCATTAACTCAATCTATACCACTCATTATTTTATAAACTTCTATAAGGTCACTTCTCAACCTCCTGCTCTCCAATGAGAAAGGTTCCACCCAATCTTCATAATTTTATTAAGTTATACAGTAGAGGCAATTTCACACATATCCCAAGTGCTCTTTTAGGGAGTTCTTTATTTTCCTGAAAAGGTGGAATAGGTGTGTAATGGTGGAATTCAATAGCTAGTTTCACAAGGAATTGGATAAATACTTGGAAGAAAAATTTGCAGAGCTATGGGGAACAGCTTAATGAGAATAATTTGGATAGGTCCTTCAAAGGGACTGCACTAGTAGAATGAGCTGAATAGCTTCCTGTACTATATAATTTAGTGGTACTGGGTACCTATAGCTGTCCGATTTTTAAGGAATATTGTACCTTTTAATTCTTACCCCCCCCCAATCTTTTGACTGTCCCTTTTCACTAAGTCCAGTTGATGCTTTTTTTTTTACTGATAGCCAAAATATTACTGCAAACTTTGTTTTAACCAATACCTTATAAGCCAGCACTTTCGATAAACCACTAAGAATTATATACCTCAAATATAGGAAGTTTACTGCATTATCACAATCTCTGAGTAGTCAGTTCAGGGTGTAAGTGAGAGGGCTCACCGCCAGTAAGGTTTATTTAAGGCAAAGTTGCATTATTATTTCAGTGATTTATGCTGCAAATAAGTATAACAGTGATGTGTATACCCCCTGCATTACATTTCTATTATTTAGTGTGAGTTTTTACATTGATTATGTGGACCTCTTGATCAACTGGAATATTTAATCAACTAGCACGCTCCTGATCCCATAAGTACCGGTTAATAAAAAGTTTGCTGTAGTCATCCTGTCTAACAGAGTCCCACTGCAGGAGAATGAACATATAATCTAAGTCAACCAGTGCAGTACTGTGGAGGTACTATCTTCATCATACAATGGACTCATCTACCCTCCAGTTAAATGTAAATGCTCACCCTTGCACTATTTTGTAGGGGTGTGTGGAATTAATGACTGATACTTATCTCTCCACTAACATCACTAAAACAGATTTTGCAGTCATTATAACATTGTTTAAGATTTTGCTATATACAAATTGACTGCTGCAATTCCTACATTATACAAAGCTCTCCATCTTTCTCTCCTCTTCATGTTCAAAACCTATCACTTCACATTAGTTCACATCAAACTTCCAATTTTCTTAAATACCCATGTTTGTTCAGTGCTACTCCTTTTTATTTCGATTTACCTTCTCTTTGGTTTCAGTATCTTAGGCATGATTGCCTGGGGTCCAATTGTTTCTTTAATAGTCTTCATGCAAAAACTAATCTTCAACTGTAAATCTGCAAACATCAATAAGCACACCACTGGGCCCAAAGGAAGGGACACCACCACTGCAACACAAGACCCGCTAACCCTATATGGTCTCAAAATTTCTGAATGTCGTGATTTGAACACACTTTTTGACACTGTGTCAGGCACAAAACTCAGTTGTAAATTATGAACCTGTTTGCACGCGTTCATGAACATCATATCTTTAGGTGTGACTTGAGCCAAATTTTCCAGGCCAGAGGTAGAGACACCACCACTATATCCATAAATTTAACAGCAGCAATTGAGGGAAAACGTGAATAAATCCAACCCCTACACCCCATATCAACCTAATGCAATTCATATTGCTAATCGAAGAAAGTGCACAATTATTTTACACTGTTTTGAAAGGCAGACAGGTTTTAACTTGACAGCTTTACGCGTCAAGGAATCAAGCTGCATCATTGTGGCAGTGGAAGTTGCGCACGCAGCCGGCAGTCCCCCAAACGTCACTGAGCAAGCGAGGCGGTCTTTTGCGTGTGCACCTGCTATTCCACTCCGGCTTCCTGTTTTAATCCTAATCCCCGGTGAATGGTTCCTAAGGTTGCAATCACATTGGTTCTTTCCTTGAGCCAGATTTGTTTGAATGAATTCGCTGTTTAGTATGATGAATGAAAATTTAGGCATCCTGCAATTTAGTTTCTAATTTGTTGTTATTGCGAAGTTGTTATGAGTATCCCAAACCCTGAGAGGTTAGACCCAGGAGGTAAAAGCCAGATCTCAGCCATTCGAAAGGAGGATTGTGTGTACACCAGCTGTTATTGGTAAGCAGGCCTTACTGGGAAAAAATGGTCTCAGTTATTTAATGTGGGTGTAGATCCCACAAATTGTGCATGTTTTCCTTAAAATTAAACGGAAGTTGTGTCATCAGTGTATTTTTTTAAAAGGAAAATCGCTATTGTGATCTGACGTGCACTGCCTGAAAGCGCAGAGGAAGCCGATTCAAATACTGTAGTAACTTTCAGTAAGGAATTGGACAAACATTTCTAAGGATAATTTGCAACGCTACAACAGAGGAAGAGAGTGGGATTGATTAGGCAGTTTTATTCAAAATTGCCGGCCGAGATATATCGAACTGAATGGCCTCCTTTGCTGGAACATTCCTTAAATGTTACCTTCTACCAACCACCTAATCTTGACAGCTTTGGATTTATTTCTCCTTTTAGGGGGAGGCCAGCTGTTTGGGCCCTATATTCTGGTATTGCCTCCCAAAACCTATGCTTTTCTGCTTAAAACCTACCTCTTTGATCAGGACTTTGGTCCCCTGTTCTATTTTTTTCACTGGGTGCTAAGTTTCAAATTTTATTTAATAATCACATCTTAAGCGATTTTATTTTCTGAAGGGTAGTACGTAAATAAACTGTTGTTGTAAGTTTTGTATTCGTCTGCACCTGCCTTCCCCTATACGGTTGCTCTCCAACCAATCGATGGAGGATTTTCACATGGTTTTGTTCTTACTGCTATGTCAGTGTAGATCCTTCTATTCAAATAGCACTTGTTCTGAGCTGAAAATTAGGAATATGCAATATAATTGGAAAAATGTACTTTTTCTTTTGAAGGATTATTAATAATTTACTTTTAGGACTAAACAGTTGTTTATAGTCAACCTGGCTTTTAATGCTGCTAAAGTGCAATCAGCATTGATCAAGCTATATAAGTTAAGCAGTTAAACTATGATTGAAAATATTCAACTGCTTTCAGCATTATTCTAATAGACTGTAAATTCAATTTTGCAGACAACTTGTATTATTTTTCTTTGAGTCTCCATTCCCAAGCAGCATATTTCATTTTCACATGTGGAAAGACAGGTCCAGACTCAGCTCTGATGTGACCCTTGGGTTTAGTAGGCTTCTGGCATCTTCTACGTTCATACAAAGGCCAGAAAAATGAGTTATCAAAAGAGCACTAGTACCTCTACAGTCCGAGTCCAGCCATAAGAGCAGCTTTCAAAAAATAAAAAGAATACAAAACTTACTTTGTACTTGTGATTGTAGAATATTGCAGAACTGAAGGAGGCCATACAGCTTGTTGTTGTTTGTGCTAGTTCTTTTAAAAACTATTCTGCTTGGTCCTAGAGCCGAGTTTTTTTTTTGTCTGTAACCCTGTAAATTCCTCATCACTAAGTACATGTCAAAATCTCATTTTAAAAATTAGTTTTGGAATCCTTTCTGTGGTTCAGCATTACAGAATCTGACAGCTCTGCGAGTAGAAATATTTTCCTCATGCCCCTCTGCCTCATTAACTAATAAGTTTAAATTTACAACCTCTGGCTATTGACTCACTTCTCAGAAACAATAATATCTTTTATTGACCATCCCAAAACCTCATCATCTTAAAAGTCATTTTTTAAATTTGATCATGGGGATGGCTGGCTAGGCCAGCATTTGTTGTCCATCCTTAATTTCCGTTTGAGAATGTGGTAGTGAGCCACTTTCTTGACCTGCTGCATTGCTTGGTTTGTGGGTACAGTTCCAGTATTTTGGCTCAGCAACTTTGAAGAAACAGTGTTATAGTTTCATGTCAGTAGGTAAGTGGCTTGGATTGGAACTTGCAGGTGGTAGTATTCCCAAGCAACTGTTGCCCTTGTCATTTCAAGTGGGAGAGTTTGTGGGTTTGGAAGGTGCTGTCAAAGGAGCCTGGTGACTTGTTTGGAGATGGTACACACTGCTGCTGTGCATCAGTGGTGAAGAGAATGAACTTTAAAAGTAATGGATGTAATATTAATCAAGCGGCTGCTTTGCTGTGGATTGTGTAAAGCTTCTTTAGTGTTGTTGGAGCTGCGCCAAGCCAGGTAAATGGTGAGTGTTCACCACACTCTCGACGTGCCATGTTGATGGTGGACAGGCTTTGAGCAGCTTGAAAAGTGAGTGATTTGCTGCAAAATTTCTAGCCTCTGACCTACTTTTGTAGCCATAGTATTAACTTTATGTTTAGCCATCTCTGCTCTAAAGAGGATAGTCCTGACTTTTCCAACTCCACTGCGCATCATACATACATCATTCATGCCTCTATGCCCAAAAGCGGTGCCCAGAATATTTCAAATTGTAGCATTTGATTTAGACAAAAAAGTGAATATTTTTACCATGAATGTTAACATTTATATTAAAATATGTTCTTAGTGAAGAAAATATATGGAAGCTTTGTGAATACATAAGGAACAGAAGACAATATCCTCTGGAAGAATGGTACACTGTTTTCATATCAAATGACCAAAAGATGGTAAGTGCAGTCTACAATTGAATATACATTTTATTAATCCAAGGTACAAGAATTTCACCAAATTCCTGCTTTGCCTGTATCATAGAATCACAGAACTGTTGCAGTATCAAAGGACATCTTTTAGCCCATTCTGTCTGCGCAGGCTGTCCAGTTAAGCAGTACACCTCATGTTACCCACCGACCTTCACCCTGTACTTGCACAATCTTCCTTTTCAGATAATAATCCAATTTCCTGTTGAATGACTCAGTTGATCTTGCCTCCACCATGCTGTCAGGCAGCAAATTCCAGATCTTAACCACTCGCTGCATGAAAGGTTTCTCCTCAAGTTTCAATTGCTGCTTTGTTAATTACTTTAAATCTGTGTCCTCTTCTTCTCACTCCTTCCTCCAGTGGGAACAGTCCCCCCCACCACCACCCCCACCCACCCCCCCGCCATTTGACCTGTACTAACTCCGTTATCAGCCTGAGTTATTTAAATTGCATGCATAAAAACAAATTATTCACAAAAAAAGCGGTGTTTTCCCTCCAGATTGCACAGAGTTTGTGCTCAGGTCAATACTGTAGAACTTGAACACACACCATTCTGACTCCAAGATACAAGTGCTGTCCATTTTAACCAAGGCTGATACCCAACTGAGTTCTCCAAGAAACTGAATAATTGTAATTGTAATTAGAACAAATATTGTAAACTAAACATTTTGTTTGAATAGCAATAATCCTTCCATTAAATTTATTTTTGTTATCTCTTTAAAATTAACCAGCACAATGAGAAAAATCTGGACACATCAAACTGAATACTATATGGTAAAATTTGAAATCAGCCACCTGGGTAGTACAAGCAGATTTATGTTTTAAGGTTGAGGTAGATGTTTATATATAGAGAAATGTTGTGGGGAGGAGTAGATGGAAAGAACTCTGTAAACAAATTACAGAAAGTTAACATGTAATTACAGCAAGCTAACGGGAAGGCAGATGGGATGTTAGCTTTTATTGCACACAGGTTAGAATAGAAGGCAAAGGAAATCTTGCTGTAATTATGTAGTACTTCGTAAGATCACACTAGGTGTGCTATGTACAGTCTGGTTTCTGTACCTAAGGAAGAATATATTTGCCCCAGAGTTGGTACAGAGAAGAACCAAAAGAACTGCCGATGCTGTAATTCAGAAACAAAAACAGAAGTTGATGGAAAAGCTGAGCAGGTCTGGCAGCATCTGTGAAGAGAAATCAGAGTCCGGTGACCCTTCCTGAGAACATTGAGTAGAATGGGCCTGTATTATCTAGAGTTTTGAAACTGAGAGGTTGTCTCATTGAAGTATGTAAAATTCTGAGGGATTGGCATAGTGATGTTGAGAAGCTGTTTTCTCATGGCTGTAGAATCAAGAATGAGAGATCATAGTCTCAGGATAAAGAGTTGGCTATTCAATCTGAGATGAGGAGGCATTTCCTCATTCAAAGCATTGTGAATCTTTTAAATTTTCTATCTTCGAAATTCTCCGTCAATAAGTATATTTAAGACTGAGGAGAATAATAGATTTTTATGAGATTTGGGACCACTGCAGGAAGGTGGAGTTAAAGTATAAGATTGACTGTGATATTGTATGGTGAAGCACATTCAAAGGACCAAATGGTCTATTCCTGCCCTTATTTTTTTGTGTTCTTTTCCACCACAATGGGACAAAACAGTTATCAATTGGTTTCTACTCAGCAGCAAGGACAATGAGCACTCCTGTTTGACATAGCTTCCAGTCTTCTGACTCAGTATTGTCCTGAGTGGTTTGGTGTCAATATTTTGTTTTGAAATGATCCAGTGAAGTGCTTTGGGGCATTTTGTTACAATGAATACAGACTACAAATACAAGTTACTGCTGTTTGTCTTGGCTTTTTCTTTTACATTGAACAAAATACAAAAACAAGGAAGTTATGTAGAAGCCTACAAATGACTAGATGACTAGGTGATCTAGAATGCATTGCATGAAAGGGTGTTGAAAATAGATCCAGTGAAAATTTTCAAAAGGCAATTGGCTAAAATCATGAATGGAAAGTATTTGTAGGGCTATGGTGGAAAGGCAGTGAATGTGAGACTAATTGGATAGGTCTTTCAAAGAGATTGCACAGATACAATGACCTGAATAGCTACCTGTGCTCTTAGATCTATGAACTTGTACATTACACATTCAGTGAACTCTCTGCTTATTCAGCACATTAACATCATCCAATACCCAAAATAAGTGAGTTAGATTAAATACAAAACACTTCACTGTTAATTTTCAATAATGATGAATGGAAATAGAGAATGAGTCTTGGATAAACATGCTCTGAAAGGCTTATTCTAACACTACAGTGCAGCTCCCCACTAAACCAGCAGAGGGATCCCCAGTTTAACTCCTCTCTCAGTCAGATTAGTGAAAATGTACAAACAGAAATGAAGGAGGTCTTGTGTAGTGGGTATGTGTCACTATATCTGAGTTAGAAATTCTGAGTACCCATCCAACCTGAGGACCTGGTGACCAAGGAATGTGCATTCATAATGTGAGCATCAACCTGCAATTCCTTCTAACAGATGCTGCTGGCAGGCGTTAAAAGTGGGAGAGATTCATAATCAACCACCTGCTAAGATTATTGGCGCATCTTCCAGGATGGCGTCAGAGCGTGACAACATTTTGTGAGCTGTCTACAGCAGATCTTACTCTTACATATCTTAAATTACCTATGTACTTTGTTTGGTATGATCTGCCTGTACCGAACACAAAACAAAACTTTTCACTGCACCTAGATACATGTGACAGTAATAAATCAATTCAAAAAGTGTATGTTGTCACAGCAGCTTGAATGAGTTTCTTTTGTTTATTCTCTCATGTAATGCAGGTGTAGTTGGTAAGGCCAGCATGTAGCTGGTAAGGCCAGCATTTGTTGCCCTTCTCTCATTGCATTTGAACTGAATTCAGAGTGCAGTTAAGATTTATCACCACATTGCTGTGGTCTGGAGTCACATATAAACCAGATTAGGTAAAGACGGCAGATTTCCTTTCCTAAAGAACATTTATGAACCAGATGGTTGTTTTTAATGAGAATAGACACTATTCCTCATGCTCACGGTTAAAATACCAGCTTTATTTTCCAGATTTTATTTATTGACTGTAAATTCTACCAGCTGCCATGATTAGATTCAAAAGGCATTAACACAGGCCTCTGGATTACAAGTCCAGTAACGTTACCACCATGCCACCATCTTCCAAAATGATCTAATCAACATATTGCTGACATGATACATTGGTTACATAATTGTCATGCTAAATAAAAGAAATTGAATAATTGTTTTTGTCCAACTTGCAATTTGTTTTATTTATTTCATTACTACAAAGGTCCCCATCTGGAGTCAGCAGTCTGGCAGTGGAGATCAGCCTGTAATCTGGGTAAGTGATTCTTTTGTAAATCAATATCGATAGCTACACTTTCAATGGCATAAGAATTTTTCAATCCTTTATTTCTTACTGAAAGGCAAAGCTTTTCAAGCTAGGTTTTCTTTTAGGTATAAATTTATACAGAAGCAATGACAGTGGTTTGCGTACATACAGTGTATTTAATGCAGCAAAAATGCCTCACAAAAGTGTTGCCAAACTGAAGCAAGAGACAGTGGAAGAGGTGATTTAAGCCTGGTTCAAAGAAGTGGGCTTTAAAGATTGTCTTAAAGAGAACAAGGTAGAGAAGTTTAGGAAGGGAATTGCTGAGTTCAGGTCTGAGACAGCTTAAAATAAGACTAACAATGGAAGCTCAAGAAGAGTTCTGGATTTACAGAAATCATAGTTAGAGGTACCTGATATTCCAGGAGAATTATGGAACTGTAGAAAATTCCAGATGCAGGAAGGTCTTACCATTAAAAGATTTAAACAGACTGGTGGGATTTTTAAGTTTGAGGCCTTGTGGTTCTAGAAGCAGTTGTACGTCAGCACAGGGTGTTAGGTGAGAGGTAGTTAGTATGGGATTGATTGTGGATAGTTTTAGATGAGCTGAACTGTTTGAAGGATGTGAGATTAACGGACAGTTGCTTTTGAAGGTGATAAACGAATGGGTGAAGGTTTTGGCAGGAGATAGGCTAAAGCAAGAGGGGAGATGGGCAGTGTTACAGCAGTGGAAATGGACAGTTTTTGGTTCAAGCTAGAACAGTGATTTTGGAGCAATTTTGGTGCAAATAGGAGGTTGGAAGCTCATCTTAGGCAAATGTGACATCAGAGTTGTAAACAGATTAGCTCAGAGTGTTATCAGGACAGCAATGGAGTCAGTGGCTATTAAACAGAGCTTTGAGCAGGGTCTGAAACGATAGCTTCAGTCTTCTCAATATTCACTTAGAAGAAATTTCTGCTCATCCGGTACTGAATGTCAAATAAGCAATCTGATAATTGAGCAAAGTTGGAGGATTTGAAAGAGGCAATTGTGGGATAAACTGGGATATTGTCAGGTTAGGTGTAAATGCAAATCTCTTGGCTTTGGATGGTGTTATCAGGAGAGGATAGCAGGTAAGAGGGTTAATGTGGTTGGAATTGGTGGGAAGCTACAGTTTGTAATGGGCTCCAAAGGTGATAGTTTGGTTTTCTTAGTGTTTAAGTGGACTAAATTGCTTTGCATCCAAGACTGGATGGCAGAAAATACAGGCCAACAAATGGGTTAAGACAAGTGGTAGAAGACAGAGCTGAGCTAATATTCATATAGATAGTGACACTATGCCTTTGCATAATGTTACCGCGGATCAGAAAGTAGATGAGGAAGCCACCAAGAATAGATTCTTTGGTGAAGGGAGTTCTGAGGTATTTAAATGTGTAAATAACACTTCAGATCAACGAAATGGTGCCAGAGTAGAAGTTTCTCCTCGCATAACAAGTATTAGATATCGTAAGATCTAAGAGCAGATGTAGGCCATTCAGCCCATCAAGTCTGCTCTGTCATTCAATGGGGTCATGACTGATCAGATAATCCTCAGAGGTACTTTCCTGCTTTTTCCTCATAACCCTTGATTCTCTTACTAAATGGAAATCTGGCTGTCATTTTCAGCCTTGAATAGTGCTAATGATCCAGCCTCTCTGCAGTAAAGAATTCTGCAGATTCACTACCCTCTGAGAGAAGAAATTCCTCCTTATCTCTGTCTTATATGAACAACCTCTTACTTTGAGATTATGGCTTCTAATCCTAGACTCTCCAACCAAAAGGAAGCAAGCTCTCCACATGTATGATGTGAAGACCTCTAAGAATCTTATATCATACAATAAGATCTCCTGTAATTCTTCTCAACTCTAATGAGTACAAGGCCAATCTACTCAACCTATCCTCATTAGAAAATCCCTTCATATCTGGGATTAACCTAGTGAACCTCTCTGAAATGTGTCCAATGCCAATATATCTTTATTTAGATAATAGCAATGCAGGATTGTACAGAGAAGGTTGTTGATAATATAGATGGTTAGGTCGGAGTGGAATGAAATGAGGTCTATCCCACTGGGCTGTCCCACATTGAAGACACAGAGAAGCTGAGATTGATGAGGAGAGGAATAGACTATGGCTCCAGAGGGTAGCTTCAGCACTCTGGCAGGACAGAATTCATATTCGAGACATTGAGCCATGAAGATATGGGGAAAACAGACACAGATTTGGAAGTCAACAATGTTTGTGCATTTTGGAGACTAAAGGGAAGTTGGAGTTAGACTGGTAGTTTGCCAAGATAAAAATAAACCAGAGCAAATAACAATACAGTGCTCAAGAATAATTTGAGCTGTTATGAAACAAAATAGGATGATTCAAGATTCTTCAAGGACTTTTCTTGGACTTTTAACTGGCTCTTGAAGAAGCATCTGTCCTTGGCTCCCTCCTACCTGTTATCCTCTCCTGATAACACCATCCAAAGCCAAGGGATTTGCATTTACACCTAACCTGACAATATCCCAGTTTATCCCACAATTGCCTCTTTCAAATCCTCCAACTTTGCTCAATTATCAGATTGCTTATTTGACATTCAGTACCGGATGAGCAGAAATTTCTTCCAAGTGAATATTGAGAAGACTGAAGCTATCGTTTCAGACCCTGCTCAAAGCTCTGTTTAATAGCCACTGACTCCATTGCTGTCCTGATAACACTCTGAGCCAATCTGTTTACAACACTGATATCATATTTGCCTAAGATGAGCTTCCAACCTCCTATTTGCACCATTGGTGACACCATTTATTTGCACCACTGTAACATCTTCCAACTTCAACCCTGCCTGAGCTCATCTGCTGCTGAAACCCTCTTTCATACCTTTGTTATCTCTATTTTCAACTATTGCAATACACTCCTGGCTGGCCTCCCAAATTCTACCTTCAATAAAATTGACATTATCCAACATTCTGCTGCCCTGTCCAAATTTGCATCTGGTCCTATTCACCTATTTTCTTTGTGCTCGCTGGCCTATGTTGTCTTTTGGTCAGGCAAAATCTTTAAATTTCTCATTCTTATCTTCAGCACTTCCATGGTCTCATCCTTTTCCTATCTTTTCAACCTCTTCCAACCCACAACACTCCTGAAACCTGTGCTCCCCTAATTGTGGCTTCATATGCATTCTGGATTTTCATCACTCCGTCTTTGCTGGCCTTGTCTTCATCATGCTTTGCAATTCCCTCTGTACACCTCTCCCTCTTGCTATGTTGCTTTTAAAGACAGTCTTTAAATCTCATCTTTTTGGCCTAGCTTTAGGTCATCTGAGTGTGGCTTGGGGCCATACTTTATTTTAAAATGCTCCTGTGAAGAGCCTTGGGACATTTCATCACATTAAAGGTACTTTATATGTATAACTGGTTGTATTGTTGTAACACAAAATAGAATTCCATCTTGTGTATGACATAACTCAGGCAAAATTAATTGAGAACCCAGCCAGATGACTGCCAATTGAAATCCACAATTTAGACTGACACCTCAATGCAGAATAATCAACACAGCTTTAATTCTTCTTGGCCTACCTAAAGTTTATGTGCAAAGATAAAATATAGACATGTTTCACAACATCAGTTTGTATAAACCTATGTATATCATATAGAGGTCCCATCTACCTGTTCAGGTGAATCTCTAAAGATGCCTGGGGAGTAATGAAAGCTGAGTGAGCAATTTTTGTTACAGCTTGGCAAACCTTCCACCCTCAACCAATAACATTTATATAGTGCCTTTAACATTGTAAAACATCTCAAAACACTTCTTCACAGGAAGGATTCTCAGCCAAAAATTGGCAATGAGCCAGATAGGAAGATATTAGAACAGGGGATCAAAACGTTTATGAAAGAGGAAGGTTGTTAGAAGGATCTTAAAGGAGGAGAGAGGGAGAGAAATGGAGAGGTTTGCAGAGAAAATTGCAGAGCTTAGGGCCTTGCTGATGGCAAGGCTACTAATGGAGGAGTTAAAATTGGATAAGTGCAAGAGCCCAGATTGGATGAACGCTGATACCTCGGAGGGATGTAAGGTTGGAAGAGAATAGAGATAGAGAGGGGCAAGACTATGGAGGGATTTTAACATAACAACAGTACTGTGGATGTATCTATACCAGATGGACTGCAGCCATTCAAAACAGTGGGCTTCTCAAAGGCAATTAAGGATGAGTAATGAATGCTGAGCTGGTGATACTCACCATGAAAGAATATTTAAAAAATCGAATTTTAAAATTTGGGTGTGGCTGGACCAAGTGTCTGCATTTGCTCCTGTGATAATTGTGACTTTTAGTCATGCAAATGATATGGATATTTTGATGTCAGAAAAACCAGATACGTATGTGTTACGATAGTATATAATTCATAAACGTGTAATACCAAATATAGATTTTGTAACCTGATATGCTGGTAGAGCAAACTTCAATAATAATGTGTTTTAAACTAGGATTACCATGTTATCCTACTTCATGATTGTGGAGGACAGCACTGTGAGGTCTATGACCTGGATACAACACTCCCATTTCCATGTCCTTTCGATACTTACGTGAAAGAAGCCTTCAGATCTGAAGATCTCATCAGACCAGCTTTTAGAAGGTGAGACAAGCTACTGTTTAAGAGGTGTTCCTCCTATTAGTTCTGCACAGTTTTTCAGTGTTCAGAGTAGAAAATTTTATGACCATTACTAACCGTGGAGAGAATCACCTGGAAAATACGATAGTCCTAAAGAATAAAGCTCAACCTTGTGGCCTGTATATTAGAGCCAAGCCCCAAAGGAGTGAATTGAAAATGCTTCTACATGCAAAGGAAGAATTTTAAAACTCTCTTCTGCAAATGGCTAGCCAGATCAATGTAAATTTTAAATCTGAGATTGATGCACTTTTGTGAATTGAATGAAATGAAAATGGGTGAAAGTGGGGTAGACAGTTTTCAATCACTGATCAACCATAATCTCACGAAATGTTGAAATAGGCTTGAGGGGCTGAATGGCCTCCATCTGTTCCTGTGGTCCTGTGAGTGAGAAGTGAGTTGTGTTTGTTGCTGATGACCCATGCCCAAATAATTGACGAGGGCAACGGTCTAAGCCCATGCGTAAAAGAGTGGCTACTTGGCAAGGGTACTGTAGGATACATTTGCCATAGACCATCAAACCATATGGCAGCAAGGAATCATTAACTCAAGATGCCCACAAGTTCTTAATGATTAATTAATTACTTTTTAAATTGGAGTCACTGCTGTAATATAGGAAATACATTAGTCAATTGATGCACAACAAGCGGTTATAAGCAGCAACACAATAATATTAACAGATAATTTGTTTTTAGTTATCTTGATTGAGGGACACCAAGACACCAGGGATAATGCTTCTGTTTTTTAATCAGCCTGTTCAGACATATTATTACACAGGTGGGACTTGAACCCAGCCCTTCTCACCCAGAATTAGGGATGCTATCATTGCACCACCAGCACTTCTGATTTTCCTGAAATAACAGAAGCTTTTACATCTGAGGGAATTGACAAGACTTCAGATTAAGACAGTCCTCTATACAGCACTTCTGACAGTGTAGCACTCTCTCTGAACATCAATGGGACTGTCAGCCTGAAGCTTTGCTCTCCAGTGTGGGATTTGAACCCATAACTTTAAAACTGAGAGGGAAGTATGTCACCCAGGGAGCCAGACTTGACAAGGGTTGGGTGAATATCAAGATAGTAAGAAAAATATTCTGAATAGAGAGAAATGAAAAAAAGAAGGCAAATCTCCAACTAACAACGGCTTCTGCCATCTTTCCTTTGAATGACATTCCTGCTATTTTGCTGCCCTCTTGACTTTGCCCCTATTCTTGCAACATTTCATTCTTGTGAGCTCCCAAGTGTGTGAAGCCTCCTGTGGTTAAGATGAAGAATTGCACTGAAAATTGTCCTCTGGACCATATCAATGCACCTTTGTAAGTGGAGGCCACTTTGATTCTGATGAATTTAGTGGTCCCTTTTTCACATCACTTCAATCTTCCACAGTGAATCAATGCAGAAGTGACAGATAGTTTCCTTCTATCTTGGGTTCTGTAAGCCTTTGACCTGACAGAGAAAAATATTTGAGATGAAAAAAAGATCAGGGCAGAGAGAAAACAAAACCATGAAAAATATAATTCAACAAATGGTATTGTTGTCCTTGCTCAGAAAATTGAGAGTACTACGAGCAGATCTGTACCTGAAGACATTCGCTTCAGATCGATCTCATATGAAAGATGTTAACGGAATGTGGCGCATGCCTCCTCCTCCATATCCTTGTATTCAAACAGCAGGTTAGTGAAAGAAGATGTGTTTAAAACTTTACACGATGCATCAAAACCAGGTACTGCATGTTTTCTAATGGAGTTTACAAGTTTGGTCTGGCTTATGGTTGAAACTTAAATGTGTCAACAGCTACACACTCTTACTGGTTCATGGGATGTGGGTGTTGTTGGCTATGCCAATTTACATTGTCTGTCTTTAACTGCACTTGAGAAGGTGGTGGTGGGTTGCCTTCCTGACTGCTGTAGTCCGTGGTTTAGGGACACCCACAATGTTGTTTGGATGAGATTTCCCCAATTTGACCCAATGACAGTGAAGTTATGATGATATATTTTCAAGTCAGGATAGTGTGTGGCTTGGAAGGTAACTTGCAGGTGACAGTGTTTCTATGTATTTGCTGCTGTTGTCTTTCTAGATGGTAAATGTTTTGCCGGAGAACGAATCTTAACAATTTGCTGCAGTGCATCTTGTGTATGGTACACACTGCTGCCACTGCACATTAGTGGTAAAAGGATCGAATTTTGATTACGATAGATGGGATGCCGTCAAGCAGGCTGCTAGGTCTGGGACAATATCGAGCTTTTCAACTGTTGTTAGAGCTGCTGCTCTCCAGCACCGTATTCCATCACACTAGTTACTTGTACACTGCTAGCAGGCTTTGGGGAATCAGAAGGAGAGTTAGTCACCACAGAATTCCTAGCCTCCAACCCAATTGTGTAGCAAATTGACAAAATTGATGTGTCCAGTTCATGGTCCGATTAAGTTTCTGGTCAATGATGGACCCTGCCCTCACTTTTTTGGATGGTGTATTCTTGAGGTAATGTTATGTTCCCTGAGGTGATGTGACTATAAGGTCAAATTTCTGGCATGTTCATGACGGCTGAAGAGTTGTTGACATTTTCATTTCTCATGGTAAAATGCTATTTGATGTTTGGGTTAAGAGTACATTTAATAGGGGATTGTAAAATCATTAAGATTTTTGATAAATTAAATAAGGAACATCTGTTCCAATGGCTGGAAGATCATTATAATAGGTTGTTAGCAATTTTGGTGCTTTGTCTTTTAAAACTTGCATCACTTAATTTGTGACCTTGGTTCAAATTTAGAGTCAAAGATGAACTTGGATGATTTTATCAGTATGACTCGTACCATCGGATGGGGTGATGTCTATACCTTTCCAGAATTTGTCCAACAATTCGGAAGTTCAAAGTTATAATATTTGAAAGAAAAACCACAAAGATTCCAGTTTTAGTCCTTGCCCTATGAGAAGAACTGCATAACAGACATTAATAATCCTTCAAGAAGCAGCATCTTGGTGTTGAAGTTTCCAAAATCCTCAAAATGGGCAGTAAAGAGAACACACGATGACAAGAATGGAGGGGAGAGAGAGAGAGAGAGAGAGGTGGATACTAAAGAAAATCAAATTCAAACTTGATGCTGGAAGTGGTGATTCTGCCGACCTCTCAAATCAGAAACATTACTTAAGAATGAATCCTTAACATAAGAAGGAGAGAATGTAATGAACTGTTTACTATAGACACATGCTATATCTTTATTCATTGAGACTGTTCCTTCTTCATACATTAATATCACGAATAAAGAACACCAATCATATCTGATCAGTGTAGAATCCTGCAGAATATTGTTAATCCACAAAGCAAAATAGTTCAATAAAAATCTTTTTAAAGCTTAAAGATTGTTTTCTGTTATTTATACTGTTAATATTTACCAGATAGCATTTGTCTATGTTTTGTTACAGGAGTTGAGATGACCTGATAAATTGTGCGGGATGGTCATGGGAGATACACACCTTATTAGATGTGTTTCCCCATTGAAACTCGATCTGAAATTGGTGTTAGATCATAGATATCTACAGTATAAAAGGAGCACATTCAGTCCATCAGGCCTGTGCTGTCTAAAGGACAATTTAGGTGGTCTGACTCTCTGCCATTTCCTCTAGCCCTGCAAATATCTTATCTTCAGGTACTTATGCAATTGACTTTTGAAAGCTGCAGTTGAATCTGGCACCACCACATTCTCAGGCAGCTTTTTCTCAATTCTTCTACGAACGGAAAAAGTTACTCGACATCTACTCTGTCCATATCCCTCATGAAACTCAGACAACAAGATGTAGAGCTGGATGAACACAGCAGGCCAAGCAGCATCATAGGAGCAGGAAGACTGACGTTTCAGGCCTAGACCCTTCATCACAAATGGGGGAGGGGAAGGGGGTTCTGAAATAAATAGGGAGAGAGGGAGAGGCGGATAGAAGATGGATAGAGGAGAAGATAGGTGGAGAGGAAACAGACAGGTTAAAGAGGCGGGGATGGAGCCAGTAAAGGTGAGTGTAGGTGGGGAGGTAGGGAGGAATAGGTCAGTCCAGGGAGGATGGACAGGTCAAGGGGGTGGGATGAGGTTAGTAGGTAGGAAATGGGCGTGTGGCTTGAGGTGGGAGGAGGGGATAGGTGGGAGGAAGAACAGGTTAGGGAGGCGGGGACGAGCTGGGCTGGTTTTGGGATGTGGTAGGGGGAGGGGAGATTTTGAAGCTTGTGAAGTCCACATGAATACCATTGGGCTGCAGGGTTCCCAAGCGGAATATGAGTTGCTGTTTCTGCAACCTTCGGGTGGCATCGTTGTGGCACTGCAGGAGGCCCAGGATGGACATGTCGTCTGAGGAATGGGAGGGGGAGTTGAAATGGTTCGCGACTGGGAGGTGCAGTTGTTTATTGCGAACCGAGCGCAGGTGTTCTGCAAAGCGGTCCCGAAGCCTCCGCTTGGTTTCCCCGATGTAGAGGAGGCCACAACGGGTACAGCGGATGCAGTATACCACATTAGCAGATGTGCAGGTGAACACCTGCTTGATGTGGAAAGTCTTCTTGGGGCCTGGGATGGGGGTGAGGGAGGAGGTGTGGGGGCAGGTGTAACACTTCCTGCGGTTGCAGGGAAAAGTGCCGGTTGTGGTGGGGCTGGAGGGGAGTGTGGAGCGGACAAGGGAGTCACGGAGAGAGTGGTCCCTCCGGAAAGCAGATAAGGGTGGGGAGGGAAAAATGTCTTTGGTGGTGGGGTCGGATTGCAGATGGCGGAAGTGTCAGAGGATGATGCATTGGATACGGAGGTTGGTGGTACGTGAGGACGAGGGGGATTCTTTTTTGGCTATTATTGCGGGGACGGGGTGTGAGGGATGAGTTGCGGGAAATGCGGGAGACACGGTCGAGGGCGTTCTTGACCACTGAGGTGGGGGGAGTTGCGGTCCTTGAAAAACGAGGACGTCTGAGATGTACGGGAGTGGAATGCCTCATCCTGGGAGCAGATGCGGCGGAGGCGAAGGAATTGGGAATAGGGGATGGCATTTTTGCAGGAAGGTGGGTGGGAGAAGATGTATTCTAGGTAGCTGTGGGAGTCGGTCGGCTTGAAATGGATATCGGTTTCTAGGTGGTTGCCCGAGATGGAGACAGAGAGGTCCAGGCAGGTGAGAGAGGTGTTAGAGATGGTCCAGGTGAACTTAAGGTTGGGGTGGAAGGTGTTAGTGAAGTGGATGAACTGTTCGAGCTCCTCGTGGGAGCACGAGGCGGCACCAATACAGTCATCAATGTAATGGAGGAAGAGGTGGGTTTGAGGGCCAGTGTAGGTACGGAAGAGGGATTGTTCCGCGTTACCTACAAAGAGGCAGGCATAGCTTGGGCCCATGAGGGTACCCATGGCCACACCCTTTGTCTGTAGGAAGTGGGAGGAATCTCTCGCCGCTGCCTCATGCTCCCACAGATTTCACAAGCTTCAAAATCTCCCCTCCCCCTACTGCATCCCAAAACCAGCCCAGCTTGTCCCCACCTCCCTAACCTGTTCTTCCTCCCACCTATCCCCTCCTCCCACCTCAAGCCGCACCCCCATCTCCTACCTACTAACCTCATCCCGCCCCCTTGACCTGTCCGTCCTCCCTGGACTGACCTATCTCCTCCCTACCTCCCCACCTACACTCACCTTTACTGGCTCCATCCCTACCTCTTTGACCTGTCTGTTTCCTCTCCACCTATCTTCTCCTCTATCCATCTTCTATCCACCTCCCCCTCTGTCCCTATTTATTTCAGAACCCCCTTTCCCTCCCCCATTTCTGATGAAGGGTCTAGGCCCGAAACATCAGCCTTCCTGCTCCTATGATGCTGCTTGGCCTGCTGTGTTCATCCAGCTCTACACCTTGTTATCTCAGATTTTCCAGCATCTGCAGTTCCTACTATCCCTCATGAAACTCAAGTTGTTTTAAAAAAAAGGGTGACGCAGTGGCTCAGTGGTTAGCACTGCTGTCTCACAGCGTCAGAGACCTAGGTTCAAGTTCCAGCCACGAGCACCTGTCTGTATGGAGTTGGCACATGCTGCTTTGGGTGCCCTCTGGGTGCTCCGATTTCCTCTCATGGTCCAGAAATGTGCAGGTTAGGTAGATTGGCCATGTTAAATTGCCTGTAGTGTTCAAGGATGTGTAAGATAGGTGGATTAGCCATGGGAAATGCAGAGTTACAGGGATAGGGTAGAGGTAGTGGGTCTGATTGGCATGCTCTTCGGAGAGTCAGTGTAGACCCGATGGGCCGATTGGCCTGCTTACCTCCACTCGAGGGATTCTATGAACTCACTGTGTGGTTTTGGCCTGAAAATTTAAGCTTTCACATCTTATCTGAAGGACAACTTCTCCAACAACTCACTCTGGAGTGTCAGCTTCGATTTTTGAGACTTAAATGCAGAACTATTTTACTTGGAAATGAGACCACTACCCCCTAATTCACATGTGAGTAAAATTGAAAGAGTAGTTATATACACTGATATTGACAGAGAAATAGTTAATGACTAAGGATGGTGTGTGATACTAGTTGACAGCCCGTGTATTTGTGCACAGTAATTTTCTCACATTTATAATCTGATACTAAATGTTGAAGAAAATTTCTTGAGGGCTTTCAAATTGTTAATAGGTCTTTGAACTTGGAATTAAGTATGAGTAGATAGGCTAGTGTATTCCAAACAATATAGGTCATCTATTGTATACCAAGAAGGTGTGTCAGCTGCGATTCAGTGAGTATACCCTTTCCTTTTAGTCTAAAGGTTTTCGGTTCAAGTCCCACTGCTCGGACTTCAGCGCAACAATGCACACTGACAATATAATGTAATACTGAGAGAGTACAGCTCTAATGGCTGAGGTGTTAAACTTACTGCATTTCCTTGCAGGTCGGTATGAAAGATCTATGAATACATTCACAGAAGAGCAGGGTGTGTTCCCTATTATCCTGGCTAATATTTATCTCTCAATAAACACCACTAAAGCAGATTGTCTAGTCATTATTACATTGCTGTCTGGGAACTCATTGTGTGCAAATTGTTGGCTGTATTTCCCACAGTACAATAGAAACTACACTTCAGTGATTGTAAATTGTTTTGTGACATCCGGTGGTCGTGAAAGGTGCCATATAAATGCAATTCTTTCTATAAAAGTTCCCTTCAAGGAGCATATTGCCAGAGGTATTGCTTATGCATCCTGCTGAGGGCACTATAATCCCCTGGAAAATTCCCATCACTCTCTGCCCCAACCACCTCCTCCCCGACCCCCCCCGCCCTTCCTCAATCTTACTCTGACTTCAAGGCATATGTGTCAGGTGAAAGTTAAGTGAACTGCACTTGGAACCATTATCAAATAGCAGAAAGGAATTTTGGATTGTGCAGCTGTCTGCTATTTGAAGCTGTTCCATGTTCTGGAGATTTCACTTGTTGCTAGCCAGCCACTATCCCTCCAAGTAAACAGTTTATAAAACTGCAAACAGTATGACAAAAACAGCTTGCTTCTGTCTTCTCTTTCACAGTGAGTCAGAATTAAAGGGTAGTCTGTAATAATTTTGCAAATTGGGAGTCATGCAAGAATATTCACAGGAGAAATTTTATTTAATTATTTGTCAACAGAATGTGGGCATCAGTGGCTTGGCCAGTATTTACTGCCTGAACCTAATTGCCCTTAAGGGGGTGGTGAGCCACTTACTTGAACCACTGCAGTCCACATTGTAATGTTATATCCATGGTGGTGTTAAAGAGGATGTTCCAGGACGTTGTCCCTGCACAATGCAGGTATGGAGGCATACTTCCAAGCTGCAATTTTGCTCCCATAAATTTTCTTATTTGTTCATTTTTGGGATGTGAGCATTGCTGACATTTATTTTCCATCCCAGGTTCCCCTTGTTAAAAGGTAACTGGGTGGTTTGAAAGTTCACTTCAGAGGGCCTTAGCACTGTGGTCAAATAGAGATTCTATACAAATTTCAAAGAACATATCTACTTTTAATTCAATACCTCAATACATGAACGTCATTGATTGTTTTGCATTTTATAAGCCCTATTAAATTTTGCTGCTACTTTTAACAATTTGTGAATCTGTACTCTCAGATATCTCTGTTCCTCTAATCTCTTTAGACTTGTTTTCCAAGTGATATTTGTTCTTACTTCTCCTATTAAACCACATCACACATTTTCATTTTACACACCTCTTCTGCAAATACCTACCAACTAAACCACACTGGAAACTCAGTTCAGGAAGACGTCTCATCAACAACTTCTCAATGGCAATTAAAGATGGGCAATAAATGCTGACCTTGCCAGTGATTCCCACATCCTATAAATTAATAATTCAACAAAAAGGTCTTTCTTTTTTTCTGTGAATTTTCTTGGAT